TTTAATTCAAATTTATATTGAATGTATTATGCAACTACTATGGAGAAAAGAGTATGCTCACTGATTTCTTCTAAAGGATTTTTCAAGGTCATATAAAATGCCAGGTGAGAGAAGTGCTATAACTGTTTTTCTCACTAGATAATGTGCACTTAAAAACTACACTGAGTGTCACCTGTGAAGAGGCACTAGTTAAATGAGAGGCATCCAGAAGAAGGGAATTAAACTGGTGAAGAACTCAGAACTCTTAATACATGGAAAAAACTAGAGAAACCACAGTAAAAGAGAACGTTCTGATATTAGGACTGTATTCACAAATTTGAAGGGAAGTAAACTTCTGAGTAATAAAGGAACACATACTTTCTGGTCATTAGAACCTTCCTTAACTAAAATGGACTGCCTTGTAATGTGAAAAGCTCCTAGTCAAGGGAAAGGTCAAAGATGAGGTTGGAAGGTAATCTCTTAAGGATGTGGCAGAGGTGAGGCCTGATAATTCAACTGGATGGTTTCACTTCTGTAACTGGAAATTCAGCACCTTTGGTAATTTCCTCAAGATGAGTCACAATATGTAAGTCACAGTACATAAGTAAATGCATTAACCATTGTCATCTTCCTCCCTTTGAAATTTCCATGTATTGGTGACTTAGGTGTGTTTCTGAAAGATTAACTGCTTGCAATCTATATTTCCTTAAAATTCTGGCTGTCAAAGAAAGATCAAGTCCAGATTCTAGTTCTGTCACTTAACTATGCAACTTGGTAAGTCATGATTTTCTTAGGCCTCAGAGAAACTCAGCCTTGGGGCAGCATTCCCCACCTCTCGCAGTGTTTTTAGCGGACGTTGGTGGGTTTGCAGTCACAGGACTGGTGGCACCGTGGCTCAGCGCGCAGGGGTCAGGGCGCTAAACGCTCCTCGGCGCCCAGGGCACCCCTCCCTCCTCCTCTGAGGAAAGGTGACGAGAAGAGTCACAAGTTGCTTTTACGTGCCAAACTTGGTGAGATTTATCTGTGTGAAGACGCTGCAGTTAGCAACAGCTCTATTTACCTAAAACACAATGAAACAGCTTTTCCTCCCCACCCTAAGTAGTTAATAATACAGTTCACAACCAAAACTGACATTTTAGGATCACTAGGTAATATTTAAAAGAGGGTAAGGAAAACAAAAACAAAGGAAAAACTTGTTTTTAATGCTGGATAATCAAGAGACTTGCTTCAGTAAAAGTTCAAATGAGCTGATACTGGTATTCTAGCTACCCAAGACTCCATTAGTGGAGTTACAGAGTTAGTTCCTACAGCCTTCGGGGCTTTCCCTTCCTCTACAATAGACGCAAGATATTTAGTGGGTCATTAGGTGCATCTTTATCGGAAGCAAAATATTACTTTTAACAGCTATCGGAAATATTTGCTCTTAAAGGGAAAAGGTTAATGCATGTCTGAACACGTAAAAAATTTAACAGACCTTTAACTACTGATGCAAAATATTTAACTGTGATCAGAAAGGTGTGCTGAACAACTTTTGGTTTCTGACTGAAAAGCAAATTTTGGGATGCCTTGAAACCAAGGACCAAAATTAACATCTAGGTTTCAATTACCTGTTTACATTTCCATGCATAGAATGTGTACGCACAGAAAGGCTGTCAGTGATTCCAAAGGATATTGGGTTTCTGCCAACCTAGGTTATTTATTACCTCCTTTAAGACTCAAAAGATACACCTTTTAATCCACATTGCTAGTTTCAGTACTTTATTTGCACCAAATGTGTTTTTAATCCCAGTGGTTCCATCAGCACTTATTTCCAGAAACACAGATTCTAACACTTTAATATGTTCTTTCACATAAACAGGGACATTACATAAAAGATCAGTTTGCTGACCATCAGTACTTTGGAACAGGTTTTTCATCCTGAAGAACAGGATTGTAATTTGTTTGCTTTCATTAGGGCTTTCACTGGAAAATATTCATATGGCTATATTATATAAAATAAATAATTTTACAATGTACAAGAAAATGTTTAAACTTGAGACATTTTATGTTTGCAAGCATAAAATCTGTAGGGGGAAGAAAGTGTAAATATGAAATAATTTAATGACCTGTGTAATATTCAAGCATCAACTTTAATAAAGTGTAAAAACGGTCCTAGTATGATTCCTTAAAAATAGATAAAAGCCCTCCTTTTTTCACAGCCAGTATCAGCTAGTTCTTATTGCCACTGTATGTTACCTCATGATTTGTTACAAATTACCAATCAATGCTGTAAAATAATATAAATGTCAAAAATATATAGTTTTTATAGAAGGGCAAGAAAAGGGTATGACATTAAGAGATACAAACTACTATGTATAAAAAATAAGCAACAGGGAAGAACACACTACAGGGAAACAGTCATTATTCTGTAATGACTTTAAATGGAGTATAATCTATGAAAATGTTGAATCACTAAGTGATATACCTAAAACTAATACGGTAAATCAACATAAAATAAAAAATTCAATAATTTTCTTTAAAGATATAGTTTTTAAATGTTGAAGAACAAGAAAATCGGATAAAAAGGAACCAATACATAGCAAATTACGAATTTCCTAAAATTATATTATATGGATAACTTACTAACTTCATGGGGGATGTGAAGAACTGATTAAAAAATTATTCTAAATATAATTATTCCAAAGCATCTGATAAAGAACAGAAATATAAAACAGGTTGGTGTTTGAAGGCAATTAAGTGATAAAGTCAAGCTTATGCAGAGGTCAGGCGTATTTTCCACTCTAAAATGTCAAAAGACATAGGTCAACTTAAGGTAAAAAATGGTAAATACTTTAATATAGATTTGGGGAATACAGGAAAGCAAATTCCACAACCATGAAGGCAATAACCTATCATTTGTTGGTGTTTGCATGGTTAAAAGGGTCAGAAAGGGGACAGTTTATATTTTTTTGGCAGATAAAATGCAATCTATCATAGAACTTCAGATTTCAAGGAAAACTCCTTCGAGTCCAGCAGCTAACAGCTCGTCTCTTTGCTGTCACTGAGGGTCAGAGACCCACACTGTTTTCTTCCCCTTTCCTGCTCGGCGTCAGTTACACTTGAGCTCTCTGCCTGAAAAGGTCTGGAACAGATTAGAAGTCGGGCCACAAAATAAAAAGCTTTGGCAAGCTGTCAAGCCTGTCTGGAATACACATACAACAGTGGGCCCAAAAAGGGAAACTAAAAGCAGTAAGAGTATTTTATGAAACCTTTTCTTGGCATACTTAATTGTACGCTCTGTGTACATATGTTGAGGTGGGAGGGAGGCTATTATTTTTTTGGTACTTTTTCCCATTTAAAACAAAAGACCAAGCTGTGTGTGTAATTAATGGATCTACTTAAGCTCATAGACAACTTGCTTTACTTCACTTTTTATTAACTGAAAATACTTAAAAACAAAAACCTTTGTTGCAACTGCTGATTTCTATAGCTAGCTAAGAGTTACTCATCATTTTTCATAACCTCATGTAGAGAGGAAAAAAAATCCCACAGTACCATTTTTAAAAATTTCCAAATGTGGACAAGCTGAATTCATTTCATTAAAGATGATTTGGGGAAACATGGCTGTTATCGTTCTAGCCCATACAAATGGCAACATTTATTAAATTTTCTACCTTACTTGGTTTCCTGTTTCAACCACAAGGGCTTATTCAAGTATTAAATAGAATCTGAAGTTGCAAATTATTAACATGCCACATTACTTTTTTAACACCCAAATAGGTCTTGAAGCTCAAAAGGCTGGCATTTAAGCCAAAGCGGGTATCTGTCAAAGTGACAGTCTCTGCCCTGATCCCATTCTGACTTTACCTGAATAGGGGATCAGTTCCTAACACTGACCAACCAATGAGCTTGGGGCAGCAAACCCAAACGTCGGGGTTTTTTTTAAAGGTATACATACAGACACAGAACTGTTTGGAACGTTCCTAACAGGGCAGTTATTTTGCTCAGCCCTGGGTAGAGTTCTCTTTCTTCCCTCTTACCCGAGACTGTGTTTTGATGGCATTCAAGGAGTTAATTCCTCTTTCCCGTAAGGGCCCCGCAGTTGTTGTTAGGTCAACCCCTGCAAAGCTTCAAAGGTTCCGAGTTCCCTCAGTCTGACCCACTCAGTGATCTGCACATTGTTTTCATTTAGCTACATCCAGTCCAAGACGAAAGCTTTAAAACCACAATGATCTGCTCCTTTTTAGATTCATTTTTCCATGGCTTTGGGAAAATATCTCAGAAACCCAACTGAAGAAAAGGAAAACAGTGAAAAAATATGGATATAAAGGCTCCAAAGAGCTTGTATACTATTATCAAGATATGCACATTTGGGAGGGAAGTATTTCTTTGTGCAAATGGTGATTTTTGTCATTTGATTTGAGAGAGAAATATGGCTTTACTTTTTGTTTCCTAAATGAAAAACAAAGAAAAAAAAAAAAAAAAACCCTTAAAATATGGGTGTGGGGTTGGGATGTGAGGGCAGAAATGGAGAGAAGGGGAAATGCTTCCACTGGCCTATCTCTAGGTGACAGGGTCCCTGACCCAGCTGAGGACAGAAAACATTTTAACACTGAAACACAGGATGAGAGTCACTGCTCTCCTCAAGTTAAGCATAAGCAGACACCAGGTCATTCACCAACAAAAGCTGGTATTTCAGGTTTTAGATGAAGCAACAGCCTGATTATTTCTATAGCTAGAAAGATCATTTTAAACAAGATCACTGTGCTTCTCAAATATGTGAAAGAAACAGTGAGTCTGGTTAGTAAACCACCACAAAATTCCTCCAATCCCATCCCAAGAAGTCAAAGCTAAAAAGTTGATTTAGATACAAATTCAAGTTTTAAGTGAAAGGCATAAGCAAAGAACTAGATAAGTTGGCTAGGCAGTCATTTTTTAAAACTATAAAGCAACGCAATTTAATTTAAATGTACCTTCCAAATTTCACATACCAAAAACCAGTAATCAAAAATATTTAAAAAGATTTTGAGATGAACCTTTACCAAAACGAGGGTCAAGCCTGGGGTCTAGCCAAGAGGTGGTCTTGTTCTTGTGGTTTATATAGTATATTTCTCCATCCTGAGTCATGGCTTGTTCCCATCCATCAGGAAGAGGACCTATAAACAACATGAAAAAAAAAATCACGGTTTGTTTTTATTCGGTGCACCCAAAAATAAAAAAAGTGGTAGAGGTGCTAATTTAAAAAGAAAACACATCCTGACATAAAACAACTCATTAAAGTAGACTTAAGATGTGCTCAGGGTAGAAAGGTACACCCAAATACTTGATTCTTCTCCGCCAAGAGAAACTATCCAATAATAAAATCTACATCCCCGGAGACACAGATGTAAACAAACTTCAGATTTTGGGAAAACTCTCTGGAGTCATGACCCAAGCAATTACTATTGGTGTTAACGCAAGATGCGGAGTGCCGCAGCCCAGGGGCTGCCCCCCATCCAGCCTGCATCGTGACAGCACCTCCCCAGAGCTCTTCCCCAGGAGTCTGTGCAGGAGTCCTTGCAGCACTGTGGCATCGCAAACACGGCTCAACATAGAGCACAGTTAGCTCAGCCTGCCAACTGCCACTGATTTCCAGTCTGTACGTGACTGACACGCCAAGACACAGTAACAGAGGAAACGGTGGAAAAGAGCTGATTCTCAAGCAGCCCAGAAGGTGCTAGGAGGTGGGGACGGGGCTGGGAGTTTCAGTCTGTTAGAGATGTGGGAAGCGGAGAGAGTAAGGACCAAGACTGCTGGGAGGCACGTTTCTCAGGAAGAAAAAGGAGGTACAAATTCCGAAACTACAGCGTGAGGAAGCAACACCTGGGAGATAGGGCTAAGAACACAGAAGTTTAGGATGATGCTAGGCTTCCCTCCTAGCTCATTCAGGAAAGGATCTGCCTGCCACGCAGGAGACCCAAGTTTGATTCCTGGGTCGGGAAGATCCCCTGGAGAAGGGAACAGCTACCTATTCCAGTACTCCGGCCTGGAGAATTCCATGGACTGTATCCATGGGGCTGCAAAGAGTCGGATGTGACTGAGCGACTTTCACTTTCAGTTTTGGGCTTCCCTGGTAGCTCACGTGGTAAAGAATCTGCCTGCAATGCAGGAGACCATGGTTCAATTCCTGGGTCAGGAAGATCTGCTAGAGAAGGGATAGGCTACCAACTCCAGTATTCTTGGGCTTCCCTTGTGGCTCAGCTGGTGAAGAATCCACCTGCAAAGTGGGAGACCTGGGTTTGATCCCTGGGTTGGGAAGATCCCCTGGAGGAGGGAAAGGCTACCCACTCTAGTACTCTTGCCTGGAGAAGTCCATGGACAGAGGAGCCTGGCAGGCTACAGTTCACGCAGTCACAGAGTTGGATACAACTTAGTGACTAAACCATCACCAAGATGATGCTATCCTTACGAGGGTAGCGAGTTGCTTTTGAGAGGGAACAGTGAGGAAATGAGAGGCCTAGCGTAAGTGATCAAACCCAGGCACATTTCCTCTTGTCTCCTCCACTTCCCAGCCTCACGAGGATCAGGAGAGGCAAAGGGAAACGGACCAACAGGAACTGACTGCTTACTGTGCGCCAGGCACAGTGCCAGGTACACATGCGCACGGACTCATCTAATGCAGACGATGACTGAGGACGCGAGCAGCAGGACAATCTCCATTCTAACGGGAAACTGAGGCAGAGCGGCTCAGCAGTACATCACAGAGCGAGTGTCAGAGATGGTACTCAAACCCAGCAGCGTGATTCCTGAGCCAGTTTCCTCATAACACTTCTTTTCTATATTTTTATCATTTTTAAACTTTAAAAGAAACTTTACGTGGAGGGCGACTGCTTCACAACGTTGTGTTGGTTTCGGTCACACAGGAATGAGTCAGCCGCAAGTATACACACACCCCCTCCCTCGTGAACCTCCCTCTTACTCCCACAACCCCTTATTCATCTTCCACATCCAGGATTAGGGACTAAGTGTGTCTCCTGTGCAAAAACGGAACAGTCCCTTTTTCTAGGCAGTAAGTCCCCTGCACACGAGCCTTCAAGTTGTGAACTTGCAAGACGCAAACATGCACGCCAACCGTGTTTCCGTTGGCTCAGGTGCCGGCGCACACTCACACGTGTGCACCCCCCACATGCGGCTGCGCTTCATGTTCCACCCAGCATCGTCCGATCGTGCTTTCAAGGAGGACAGAGCTGAACGCAGCAAGGAGCCTGTGCTCCCAGGGCCGGCAGGAGGGAGACCAGCCTGCCCCCTGCCTCCCATCGCTGAGATGCGTCACTCGCCCGTCCTCCATCTCCGCTCCCCCGTCAGAAGCCTGCCTGTTCACTTGACGCCAGTTTATGCCAGCCGTCATACTCTAGCACCCAGCCGTCACACTCTAGCACCCAGCCGTCACACTCTAGCACCCAGCCATCATACTCTAGCACCCAGCCCTCACACTCTAGCACCCAGCCCTCACACTCTAGCACCCAGCCGTCACACTCTAGAACCATACTTTTCAAGGTACTACACTGCAAGATTGGAACTTTCATTTTTTGTGTTTTTTAACGTATTATTTTTGAAAAAATATTATTAACTTATTACAGTACAATACCATATAGCCTAATTGTGTCAGTTGGGTACCTAGGCTAACTCTGTTGAACTTATGAACAAGCTCTTGGAATAGAACTCCTTCATGTGCAGGGGACCGACTGTACTGGCAGTCCAAGACAGCCTTGTGAGTGGTCCTGGAAGAGGAACTTCGCTAACAGACCACTCACACGGGCCCATGGGACCAAGGCCCTAATTCTAGGCCAGTGCCATTTGCATCAAGAATAGACTGATTTGCTATTACACTATTATCAAAGGTCTTCTTTGATGGGGTCAAAATCATGTTAGGGAATGCAGGCACGTGGCTGGAGTGTTCTAGACTCTTACTGCAGAGACCATGGGGGAAGACCCTCCTCCGGTCCTGGTGTGAAGCTCTGCACACGATGCTATGTCCAGAGCTGGGACTCTGCTGCAGGCATCCTGTGTTTACTAAGAGGTGGATGGGAAGCAGACTCGGTAAAACACGTAGAAACCAAACCCCTTTTCTCAGCAGCTGTGAGTGTCACCTCGGTCTCTGCCTCCCCACTAGGAAATCAGAAACTTCAGAGCTCTTGCTGTTTAGTTCGCTCAGTTGTGTCCGACTCTTCTGCGACCCCACAGATTGCAGCCCACCAGGCTTCTCGGTCATGGCATTTCCTAGGCAAGAACGCTGGAGTGGGTTACCATTTTCTTCTCCAGGGGATCTTCCCGACCCAGGTACTGAGTCAGGATTTTCTGTTACTGAGCCACTAGAGAAGCCCAAGGGTTTGTTACTAACTTTAATTGCAGAAGATGGCTGAATGAGTCTGAAAAACAAGTAATAAAATCCTTAAGTTCTTAAGACATGATGACGAACAAGCCAACAGCAGTCACTGGGTGCATCGCTGGGAGCATCAGCAAAGTGGCCCTGACAGATTCCATCACAGCCTGCAAACCTGCCGAAGGGAATGGATTCCCTGCTTCTTTTCTTAAACACTACATTCTTTGCAGCCCCAAGGACTGCAGCCATAAATATAGCTATTTATCCTATAATAATAATATTTCTCAAGTATTTTTCATATATGTCACTAAGTATAATATTTAGTATTTTATAAATTTAGCAAACATGTCACCAGTTCTTGTCACCATTCTTTTTCTTACTTGGTTAAGAAAAAGAGCTGGAAATTATTGACGGCTGAATCCTCACAGATGGACTGAAGCAGATCAGAGAGGGTGAGTGGCGTCACACATTCTATTATAAACAGAATATGTGAATGACTTGATATTAATCTAGTGCTTTTTGTTCCTTAAGTGTTTTCATTTTTACGGCTCATTTGACATCCTAAGAAGTGTTTAAAATTTGTAGAACAGTAAAATGGAAAAGTGAAAGTTTCTTGTAGTCTATTCTCCAGGAGAAAAACCGAACTTTCGTTTTGTGATAGATTCTGGATTATCTTTCCTGTGCACATTTTGTAATACACATGCATAACTACTGATGTCATGCTATATACCTGAACCATACTTGCTTTTATTCACTTAATATCTATCACGGACCGCTTTTCTTAACACAACACGTAAGTCTCTCTCATTCTTTTTAATGGTTTCACAGATCTTACTACACAGATATATTAGAATTCATTTATCCCACTGTTATATGTCAGAGTTGTTTCCACGTTTTGTCCTGAATTTGTTACAAACTGTGCAATGCACTGCCCCCCCGCAGTGAGGGCACCAGCTCTCTCACTATCACTGCACACCCTGTGCTTAACCCCATCACACTGATGAAACACTGATGTTCAGGCAGATCACCTGCCCAACGCAGACCGCAGAGCAAACTTTCCCAAGATAAAGATTTGAACCCAGGCAATCTGACATGAGAGACCCTGTTTAAAATCATACAGTGTGCTGCTGTCCAAAGACATATATATGTCCCCAAAACTTATGCAGGTGTTTCCATACATTAACTCTGCAGAGCAAAATAATGACTTTATTCATTCACACTAAGTTTAAATCATTAGCTATTTAGCCTATATAAATCATATCTCTCAAGTATTTTTCATATATGTCATTAAGTATAATATTGAGGATTTCACTAAAAACAGTAGACTTCAAAAATTAAATTTAGCAAACTTGCCACCAGTTCTGTTCTTGTATAAACAACCAAAAACAAACCTCTATACAGCTGAGGTTGGCACAACATTGTAAATCAACTATACTTCAATTTAAAAACAAAAAATAAACCTCTAACTAATTTTATCTTCTTGGGCTCCAAAATCACTGCATATGGTGACTGCAGCCATGAAATTAAAAGACACTTGCCCCTTGGAAGAAAAGCTATGACCAACCTAGACAGCATATTAAAAAGCAGAGACATCACTTTGCCCACAAAAGTCTGTCTAGTCAAAGCTATGGTTTTCCCAGAAGTCAGGTATGGATGTGAGAACTAGATCATAAAGAAGGCTGAGAGCCAAAGAATTGATGCTTTTGAACTGTGGTGTTGGAGAAGACTCTTGAGAGTCCCTTGGACTGCAAGGAGATCCAATCAGTCCATCCTAAAGGAGATCAACCCTGAATA